AGGTAATATAAATTATGTTAAATCGATTTTTTTTTTAATTTGAAACACAGTTCAATATATTTTTTAAGATATTCAGAATATCCCAGCTTAATGTTGTCATATAAGTTTAATTTTTCTTTTTATGTACTATATGCACCTTTAAAAATCCAAACTGTATATTCATTCGAACATATACAGTATATCGATATTACACTTAACTGTGGCCAAGCTTAGCGAAAGGCCGTGCGACATAATCAGTCAAACAAACTTTATTAGATTAACATGTTAAGGAACGATCGTTGTCATTGGTCAATTGACACCTTCGTCCTCAAATAAACTTTCAAGCCCCGCCCAAGCACACCTGCGAAAATAGAACACGCGTACATTAACCGATCGAAAGTTGAATGGACTGGTCACGTACAGGATTGTCATGCCAATTCTAGCTTATATACGTGCATGTAAAATTTATCTATATTATAATTTTGTGCAATAGTTCTAATATGGTTCTTTGTTTTAAATTTTTGAAATTGATAACAAAGATTCTTTAATAACGGATTCCGCGAAATATTGAACCCAACTGTCTCCTCTCAGAAATAGTTCTGGACTAACCCCGTGCACTTTTTCAATCTGTTAAGTTACATCATTATGTGTTTGCAATGATAACAAATTAGGAAATATGAATGAAATTGCTCGATAATGTTGGATAAACGCAAATAAGACCGTAACTTCAAAAATAGCCAAATTACATGTACATAATAAAGATATAATTGATCGATTTTACAGTAAATAGGGTGGTAAAATAAACTGCTCATTGTTCATATTCTATCGTCAGTATATCATAGCTCCCTCCTCGACCCTATAACTAGGCTCACTTATACAAAACTTTTTTTATAAATATGAAACTACATAGAAATAAAGAAATGGAATCCAAATGACTAGTTTTAAATGACAACTTAAATTTACATCATTGCATGGAATAATCCAGTAACTTTTTCAACAGGGATGCTTGGGGTGTTAGGGATTCGACTTTGGAGAGTGTGATTTGTTTTTCTAATTCAGTTATTTTTTTTTATAACTCCATAAATTCTATGTAAATTCAGAGCAGGTAACCATGCTTAGTTTGGAGATGACAAAACATTGGCCGCAGTGAAAGGAAATGTACTTTATGTAACTCAGGCGATATAGGTTATTAATTTTTATTTCATGATATATTTTGCTATTCTATGTTAAAAAAGAATGTACATTATATTATGTAAATGTTTACATAGACCAAGTATTCTGTCAATTAACTCACTGTTTGGTAATGAAAAACAATCAGTTTAAAGAAGTGTGTTTATTCATTAAATGTATCAATAAAAAGAGGATCGAATCCGTCCTTGTACATGTATTTTGTCATCCTTAATTTCTAAATATTTCGTTTAACAGCTTATTATACATGTATGATGTTGTACTTCATTTTAACCTCATTGTTATAAGTTTACTGAGAAACATACAATATTAATAAAATACAATAAAATTGAATGTAAACAAATTCAGTATATACGAAAATAAGGAGATGTGGTATGATTGCCAATGAGACAACTATCCACCAAAGTGATATATAGGACGCTTATTTAAAATGAAGTCACAATGTTATCAAGACGAAGTATTTAAAAAAAAATTCATTAGCGGATTCAGATGTAGGGGTAAATTCAGTAAAAAATCTCCCATTGACTGTAATGCTAATCTATGTCTTGAATTAAATTTATACCTGATTTACCTTTAGAAATTAGAAAATTTCATATATCATTCATGAAAGTACAAATGTAGCCCTATCATTTGCAACAATAAAAACATAGGGTCATGCGGCATTTTTGGGCATTCACATGGCCTTGTTTACAAACACTGTAGATTCGCACTTAATTCCTTCACTGACCCCATTACTTTTCAACCCTGTAGTAAAAAAATTTAGTACATTCAGCATTTATTTTTTATTTTTTTTCAACTCTAGTTTTTATCCATCTATCAAAAAATATTTATTACAAACATTATCTACCAATCAGAAGAGCACATGACTTCAGTTTTATACAGAAAGCTCTCCCCCAAATGGGCGGTCCCTGATGACGTATATTTATTTACTGAATTTACCCCTATAAGGGACTTTTTAGTAGCTTTTCCCTCTTTTTTTGTAATAATCATGTAATGTATCCAATTTTCAAGTTCCAGTTTCAATACAACATTCATAAATGCTGAACTTGTAAAGATAGAGGAAAATTTATACTACAGCCCATACTGCGGCCAATGTATATTTGGTATATAAAGTTGCATATTGACTGTTTGTAAAAGAATGGTGTAAAATACTATGCTTAATAAATATGAATTGTTTTCTGTGTTTGCTTTGACCAGTATTGCAAGTACATCTAGAAACTAAAGTCTTGATGTACTCTTAGTTAAATTTTGCCTTATATGGAAGTTTTTTATTAAATACCCTGAAAAGACCACAAAAACACTTTTCAAAGGTTTTTTTAAGCAGTTTCATACAAAAAAAACCAACAATTATGTTTCATTTTACTAAATTTGTGTTTTAATTACTTGTAAAGTTCACAAAATGCCATTGACAATCACTCTGCAGAAATTCCTGTTACCCCAACATCAGGATGGTTTCTTCGCCAAAACTAGACAGACAAAACTGAAGTAGAAAAAAGTGCCAAATATGAAAAAATAAGACTGGGTATGACCAAACTTTGCATTTGGAAGATTAAAGTAACAATTTAGAATATTTAAAAGCAATTATTTAACATAGTAATCCAATTACAAACATTTCAACACTAGTTTCATAGATGAAGGGCATGTAATCATATAAAGTTATCTACAATTTTTTTTAAATAAAGAAACGCAATGCGTTATGTAAAAATAAATGAATATCTTCATGCGGTCAGATTATTCAAGTGTTAAAATACTTGAAAAGTGCTTATTTACAACTTGTTCTACAACTTAACATGGTGAAACACAGCTAAAAAAAATACACTGTCAAAGGGAGGTAATTCTGATTTTCCATATGATTTTACACATAATGAGGAGAAATATGTGCAAAATGTGTTGTAAAATGGGGGGAATATTTATGCCTTTCATTGATATCATAACTCTCAAGTGTAATTTCTATTGTTTCTTTCAATCTGGACACAAAAACTGATTTTTACCATATACCCCATGCTTCCTCTCACAGTACACTCAGTGCATCTTCGATAGCCGAATTAACATAGAAATTTGTGTAAAAAACAACTTCAAATGACTCCAAAATGCTTCCATTACATTAATATACACAGGAAATAAGTTTTGTGATTATTGTGTGGCCTTGGACAAGTACAGTGACAGAATGCATATTTTCCTATAGGGGTAAATTCAGTAAAAAATCTCCCATTGACTGTAATGCTAATCTATGTCTTGAATTAAATTTATACCTGATTTACCTTTAGAAATTAGAAAATTTCATATATCATTCATGAAAGTACAAATGTAGCCCTATCATTTGCAACAATAAAAACATAGGGTCATGCGGCATTTTTGGGCATTCACATGGCCTTGTTTACAAACACTGTAGATTCGCACTTACTTCCTTCACTGACCCCATTACTTTTCAACCCTGTAGTAAAAAAATTTAGTACATTCAGCATTTATTTTTTATTTTTTTTCAACTCTAGTTTTTATCCATCTATCAAAAAATATTTATTACAAACATTATCTACCAATCAGAAGAGCACATGACTTCAGTTTTATACAGAAAGCTCTCCCCCAAATGGGCGGTCCCTGATGACGTATATTTATTTACTGAATTTACCCCTGTAGGATACTGGTAGTACTTATAGAAAGATATTTTATTCTAATATTTTTAAGATTTGGAAAAATAAAATATCTTTCTATAATTATGTACTTGTAACGATGTTACATTTCAATCCTTTTAGACAAACATTTTATTTTCGTAGTAACCATGATAGTACCATACACATCTATGATAGTACATTCCATACTACGTCAATTATGTTCATTCACTTGCACAATACGATCATTGATGTTTTGTTTCTACCTTTCGATGAATGAATGGGACAATGTGTTTCGTTTGTGATACGTTCTTTCTGAATGACAAAACGCTTAGCTTCTGTATGTTCGTTTTATAGCATGAAAAAAAAATGTGCAACCCATCATAAATCATATTATTATGAGATCCTTATTACATGTAGCTACGACATTGTCAGGACAATAACCTAGTATATGATTGTGTCCCGTCAGTATGAAAGAAAAATAAAAGTGGTTCATATATTCATCCATATAAAAGTGGCACTTGTGTTTATCCTTATATTTTTTTCATAATCCGGTACGTCATGATAACTGTGTTGTTGCTTAAAGAACATTTCTAAATAAAAAATATCACAAGTTTAATATTTCGACCCCACTATTTGAAAATCAGGCGACAACACAGCATTTTTTAATTCTTATTACGTTCGTAGTAACATTGTACATTCTGTTGTCTGTCACCTGTGTCAATTCACGTGCACACTACGATTGTTATTCTATTTAAATCTTTGTGTGTTTGTGAAACGCCAGAATGTTATCAATGAATTGTCAAACGCTAAACTTGACTGCAGTTCAGTGTAATACTATTGAACGGTGTTTTATCTCATAACAGTATTTCACTTTCATATATAAGCCTTGCAATAGCATGCATATCACAAGAGAGGCAATATAAACCAAAGGGATATTCAAACGCATCAGTAGAAAACAAACTGACAATGCCATGGCAAAAAAAACAGAAAAACGACGGAAAGACAAACATCAGTACACAAAACACAACATAGAAAACTAAAGACATCAAATGGCATTCTCCATACAATTGGTAAAGTACTTCATCAAGCAAACGTATAGACTTCCTGCTATCATAACTGTGCTACGTGGATTAACACGGGTTTCTATTGGCCATTTATTGGCTCAGTAATGCCTTTTTATTAAATCATATCAATAAACAAATGCATTACATCTATTTTATTATTTCATGACTTTATAAGGTTTATGTTCAATGAATTGAAAATGCTTCATGTATGCCCATCGTCCCATTACATCGGCTGGTAATCTCTTCTAAAATAAAAAGATAAAATATAATCAAAAGTACAGACATACATACAGACAGACAGACAGACATGTATATATAAGTACATTATGTAATAGAGTACTATGAATATCGGAGAGAGAGAGAGAGAGAAAGAGAGATAACATAACTATAACAACGTTATACAGTAACGTAACCGTATCTGTTATACCATTACTGTACGTGCAAATAAAATCATCATAGATACCAGGATTGAAATTTTGTATTTGCGCCAGACGAGCGTTTCGTCTACAAAAGACTCATCAGTGACACTGGAATAAAAAAAAGTTAAAAAGGCAAAATAAAGTACGAAGTTGAAGAGCATTGAGGACCAAAAATTCCTAAAAGTTTTGCCAAATACAGCTAAGGTAATCTATTCCTGAGGTAGAAAAGCCTCAGTTTTTCAAAAATTCAAAGTTTTGTAAACAGTTAATTTATAATTATGACCATATCAATGATAATTCATGTCAACACAGAAGTGCTGACTACTGGGCTGGTGATACCCTCGGGGAATAAAAACTCCACCAGCTGCAAGACAACTTACATTCACACATGTCCTTATAAATGAGAAAAGTATTTACATAAACATACATCACAAGCGAATTTTTACAGTCAACATTTATTTAAAAAAACCTAGGCGATTTTTACGTTACATGTCATGCTTATTTATCAATTTTTGTTTATCATATATAAGGATGATAAGAAAAAATGACGTTTACGTCCCTATGACAAGTATTGAATGATTTTTAAAGGCTTTTTAGACGAAAACACATTGCGAATGATGTCGTGATATAGATAATTATGTTTTCAATTTTCAGATTTAATACTTTAAAAAGTTATACAAATAACTAAGTTTTAATTAATAGCTTTTTGTGATTGGATATGGCAAACTGTTTTTAACTTTTAAATGAAAATATCAGTGTAATTTTTTTATGTATTCGAGTCTGTCGTCTATATTAGATAACTGGTATTACTTACTGCTTTTTGCAACAGTGAATCAACAAGCACAAAGCCAGAGTAAACGTTATAACTATTGAATAAATTAGGATTCCAATCATCGCCCAATAATACGATGTTGATTTATCTCTTGCATCTACAAAAAAGTCGTAGAGTCTATGTTCACATACAATGGTAAATTATATTTGTTTGTTATGCTTGACACAACAATTAACCCATATGGAGACATAGAGGTGAATACACTAACAAATTATTAAGTCATTTTATCAATTCTTATTGCTTAGCCGATTTTGTCTAATTGGACTCTAAAGACCCGAAAGAGGAAACAAATTATCTTAAATTTACAGAATTACATGTTAAATTTAAAATATTGCAGCTTCAGTTAAAATTATAGCCTTCATATGTTTAAGTCAGCCACACAATGGCGTTTAATTACAAAAAAATGGAAAATTGGATAAAAAAATCGGAAAATTTGACTCGAACAGGAAACAGTATCAAGCACAACTGTTGCCAAATAAATATGCGCAATTTTTATATATATATTCAATTTACAAAATGATTTGTTGGGTTACGCGTTTATTCCGGTAAGTTGACTATTTTTTGTTTAAATTTCTAATTTCCCTTCTGACATCACTTTAATGACGTCAAAGGCGGGAGTGTCTTCAAGATTTTCTAATAATCACATTTGGTGAATTACACCGCTAATTAAAAATTTATTGAAGATACCAGTCCTATATTTAGTAACATCAGATGCGAGTTTCGTCTAAATATGCCTCCTCAGCGGCGCTCGAATTAAAACAGTCTGAAGGCCATATCAAACACGAAGTTACAGAGCATTGAAAAACCTAACATTTCGACATACTGTACCGAAGACCCTATATTCCAGTGGTGAAACCCTTTGCATTTTGAATAATTGAGTATAAGTGAAGTAAAGGCAATTCATCACGTTTGTATTAATAAGACACTCGGTCTGTTTGCGTAAATGTATTGTCTAAAGGTGTCTCCTTGTGGTACAAAGTGAATCGAAGAGTTGTCGATTAAGAACTTAGCATTTATATAAAAAGATCTGCTAGTATCTTAAATCTGTAAACAGGATACATTAAGATTATTTTAAATGTATTGAGACTAAAATATGAATCTATTTCCTTGCATATGAAAATTTATATTTAACTTTTACATTAAATAAATCTAAAATTATTAATTACCATCATTTAACGAAGTGCCACAAATTTGAAATCCATTCGGGACATTTGGATGATTTGTTGGTGACTCATTTATCATCATCCCCATACCATTGGTATTGTGTAAATCTATATGACAATGAAAAAACCATACTCCTGGGTTATCGGCCTTAAATCTAATGACAACGTAACCACCAGTTGGAACGATAATTGAATCTTTTTGAGGTGGATTATTCCAATTAAGAAAGGGATGAGATCCGTTTGACCATGAGTTGTTTCGCCATTTTGCATAAGAACAAAATATTTTCGGGTCATTGCAAATTAAATCTTGATTGTCCTGACCTCCATTTTGAACAAGCCTGCCTGAATTTTTATCGTAGTTACCAAATGCCATTTTCATGACATAAAACGAGTGTCCATGCAAATGTATCGGATGAGACCAACCAGAACCATTTCCAATATTAGTCAACACAAACTGGTATATCTTGTCTTTATTTGGACTATGTAATGTTACAGCATAAGTGCATTGACAAATAGTGGTTTCATTACAAGCATCACAGTTGTAGTCTACTGTATCGGGATGTTCGTATGCACCAACTGATGGCGGTTGAAACTGGTGACCATTCACTGACCCTGGTGTGTATCCTTTATCGCCAGGGAATGCAAAATTAAAAAAGTGTTCAATTGCATCGCCTTCTACATCCTCTGTGTGGGAATTAGGGTCTGCTGATCTGACATCATTCAATGAGAGACATCTTCGATTTTCAGCTGCAGGATAATACGCAAATGGACAATTAAAAACTGTTCACGTTGTTAAACAGACTTCCTCTTTGGCCTTTGCTGGATTTAGATTTATTTTGTTTTGCGAACTGTTATAAAAGATAATTGCTTCGGCAACATGATATTGATTTCTTTGTTTGGCTTCAACTTCTAATGTTTCGGCAACTAGTAAGTACGTTCCTGGAGTTTGGTTAGCAACCATTAAAAAATCGATCCTTTCACCAGGATGGATTATGAAGGATTCAACTGGTTCCTTTTCTATTTCAAAACCATCTGATGCTACTATATATATTGATTGGTGTTGCTGTACAAAAACCCGAAATGGATATAGAGTAGCTGCACTAATTACTCGGAATCTATAAGTCTGATTACTTTGTACTACAAATCTTGTAAGTGGAGAGCCATTGGTTTGGTTGTTTGTAAGATAAAAACGCCCTCGACCATTGATAAGACCGGAATGGAATTGAAATCTACTGTACATGGCACCAGATAAGTCTGACGTTGTGTTATATAGACGTCCTGTGTTCATGTCGTAATCACCTACCAGCATTTTCTGGTACAGAACATCAGCATCGTCGTTATGATTCCAGTCTTGTATAGCTACAACAAATACATTGCTTCCTTCTTGGGGCTGAGAAATATTTTGACCACGCATTGGAAGAATAATCAGCGGTCCATACAGACCCATTGTCCTTTGATCCCCGATATGGGCATGGTAAAAACTGGTCCCAAATGGTTTTCCTTTAAACTGGTATGTGAAATTTTGTCCTGGGAGTATAGGACATTGCGAAACGAAGGCTACCCCATCTGACCAAGGTGTATTTTTCTGTTGCATACCATGCCAGTGAATGGTTACAGCATCCGTATGCAACAAGTTACGAACGTGTACAATTATATCTTGATATTCATACGCAGTGATTGCAGGTCCAGGAAATCGTCCATTTAATAATATAACGATTTTCGAGTGATTTCCATCAGCTAAAACAAATGTGTCTTCTTTTTGTTGATCGTATGTCTGCCCAGTATGATAGTTAACAGCCCTTCCATTTAATGGCTTTAACAGTATTGCCTGTGTTGAATTGGGTCCTTTGTAAATCATACTAAGTTTATGGTCTACAGTCAGAAAGCATTCACAAATTAAGTCGGTCTCTCTACATGTTCCTTCTTTACAAGCAGTTCCATTTTTTTGAAGTTGATCGAATAAATCTTTGTCTGTCATTTCTGATGTTGAAATATCCACAAATACAATAACAGTAAAGAAAAAGCAAATATGTCTGAAAACAAAAGAATAATAATTAGTGTGTATCATCAAAAACATGAATCGTTTAAATTTGATTAGACAATGTTTTAATTTTGAAAAAAAGAAAAAAAACTGCGGTGTTTTGCTTTATGTTCTCTAGTAAGACATCATCTTAATGCCTTTGCTTCAATACGGGGTTATTGTATCATGGTTATAATGACTTTATACTGCCTTTTCGTAAATTTTCTTTGTTCGTGGTGTATTCTGTTTTTCATCGACTTTTTTTGTTCATTTTCACGTTGATATTTGATCCCTTTTCTTAAGAAAAACGAAACATATTTTTATTAAATTTTTGTATTTTCTATTCATATCGTATCTGATCAAATGAGTACTTGTCAATAAAACAATCAAACTATAAGTCTTTAAGTCAACATTGGTATCATTTTAAAAACTTTTATAAATATTTTATCTATAATGGGTTTTGTTAACATTGAAACTTTATAAAAGTTAAAACTGTGAGGATTGATTTTTGCATATTATTACATTGCATAGGCGTAGCATTCCCGAAAATAATGGTACGGTTTTGAAAATTAGACATGAGGGACACGAATTGTTCCTCAAGCCTCGCAAAGCGAGGCTTCATTATGGCAGGGGGTCTGGGGGCCGCTCAAGGCCCCCATAAGCTCTGGGGTTAATAGCGTTAAAATCCTGCATTCTAGGTGTTTCCTGGCACTAAAAATTGTTTTTGAAAAGCAGCATGTTTTACTTGACAACTTGAAAAAAAAAAAAATATGAATGTCTGTGTTCCAATCACTTGCGGGTTTTGTAGTTTTAAATTTTTTCCCCATTTTTGTGTAATTTACATAGCAAGATCGGTGAATGAGAACAACACGAGCATATTATACCTTGCCACTTCACCACAAATCATTGCGTAAAGTTCATGATTTATAAGATACTTCTATCAGTTTATTTGTAATAAAATCTTAGTATTTTTTTACAAATTGAAACAATAGTGTGCTAGCAACTATTGAGCTATAGTTAATAGAAAAGTGAATTGAAATGGGAAATGTGTCAATACAATACCGGAACCCTTACACACTGGGGTAGGCTGCATCCGGCCACGAAACAACGATGTAAACTGGTTCAGAGGAATTCACTCTCTTCAAAACTCCATAACACACAAAAGAACTAAAACTGAAAACAATACAGGAAAAACAAAGGCCAGAGGTTCCTGACTTGGGACAGGCGCATAATTTCGTTGGGGTTAACATGTTTTAATGTGAACTTTCAAGACAACCACTTAAGTCGACACTATGGGGGTCGTCTTGACCTTGTAGGATATGAAATTTTGAAAAACATGCAGCGACTGTCAAGACGAAGAAATGAAATAAAGCACTGTGTTTCTTGATTATTTGTATCTTGTCTATATGTATTGTGTACGATTTTGTCATATGCACATTTACTCGAGAGCCCGTCGCAATTACCGTGATTTTTTTGGATGTCTTGCACTTACCCTTCTGGAGCACCTGAGGTCGACCCAGTTTTTTTTCGGGGTCCGTGTTTCTTATTTGTTTTTAGTTTTCAATGTTGAATGGTGTTGTTTGTCCTTGTGTGTCATATTTGTTCCCTGGTTTGTCTTTTGTCCATTGATCGCGATTCTTTTTTGAATGTCGCTTCGGTTGTCAGTTAACTACATAACACCTTTTTAACATGTTGGTGGCTTTGTAATTTTCTGATTGAAAACTTTATTACATAAGAAATCACTTTTCAGATTTCAAAGGACTAATGATATTTACCGGTAGCGGTTGGGGGATCTCCCCATCTCTGATTTTACTTCGATGAAAAATACCAAAATCACCTTTGCAAAAAGGAAAACTTTTTTCACGTTAGAATAATAAGGAATGTTTTCCCTACTTGTCTATTTCTAATATAAGTTTGCATTTTTTTCCCTATCCAAAAACAAACCATGATATCCCCACGAAATGGGATGCCGCCCCCCCCTTTTCCTCCTCGGTCGGTAAAAATGATAAGCCCGTAATCAGTACACGTATCATGTTAAGAAACGTATGAAGAATAACTTTATTGAAATTTTCCAAATATGTTTTTCCTGTATTCTTTGAATGCAAACTCGCTTGCTACACTCTTCAAGTCCAAATTATCTGTTTTTGTTTTGTGAACATGCAGCACTATGAGATCGTTCAATCTATCCTGTTTCATGGTCGACCTTAGATATGTCTTAATACGACAGAGTGTACTAAACGACCTTTCGCTTGTTGCATTTGTTGCTGGTACATGTAGGACTAAAACTAGTTTTAAGACTGTTACTACTTCCGACAACAACACTCGTTCTCTAAGTGCCATTCCTCTTATGAACGTGATGATATCTGCAAGTACTATACTTTCTCTTGGTGTTGCGGATTCAAAGACAGTTGCAAATAGCCTTAACTAGCATTGAAGATTTGCTTCGTGTAAATCTTCTTGATAAAACTGGCAAACTAACTTTAATTCTTCGCTGAAATCCACACCCTTGATGCATTTTAGAAGAACTTGCTCTGTATTCAAATAGATGTTGAAGTCTCATTGTTCGAATCTATCAGTAATAGCTTGAACAATATGGTCAACAGCTTGAAAATATTTTTGACGGTTAAAAATTTTTAGGAGTAGAATGAAACTCTGCAGTTGCTGTCCCAATTTCAAATCTAGATGGCATTCTTCTTTTCCTTGGGAGAACTGGTTCTTCAACTGACTTCCGTCTGGATTTCATAACAACATTTTCCCAGAACAAATCAAAGCACTGATCATCTCTCAAGCTTTTCAGAGTTTGAACTGTCTTCTGGGCAATAGATTTACTTTCAGCAGCTGATAAATCTTTACACTGAAGAGTCCTGCTTAAATTGTCTGCATTTCTAAGCAGAACCTCTGCCAAGGATGATCCAAAGTAAAATTCGAATTTCTTCATATGAGCTTGAACTCCCCTTATTCTAGCTTTCATGTCTGTGTCCTTTACTGTCTGCAGGGACCAATCCCATAAGTCATTAAGGGTGTCGTAGTTATCAATGATACTAAGCAAGGCATCTGCTTTCACTGTCCACCTAGTTGGACATAGAATTCTTATCTTCGAGTTCGGTCTGTCAAGATCTGTTGCAGCATCTTTACAAATCTTTTCCAGATGTGTATCACGATTGGGCGATTTCTTTACAAGTTTTGTTATCTCGTAAGCAGTATCCATGGCACTGGAAAGAGATTCATTCTTTTTGATGTTATCTGCACATGCAAGATTAAGCAAATGACCGTGACAATGGTTGTAAAGAGCTTTTGGTTCAATCTCTTTTATTCTCTGTTGTACCCCCGATTTGCGTCCCGCCATTGCGCTGGCACCATCATATGTTTGGCCTCTACAATTTCCTATGTTAACGTTAAGTCCTACTAACACATCTTTGATCGATTCTGCTATAGTTGCAGCCTGTGTGTTGTCTACTTTATAAAGACCAACCAAGTCTTCGTGTGCCTGTAGATGATCGTCAATCCATCGTAGACAAACAACTAACTGTTGACGGTTACTTATGTCAGTTGTTTCGTCGGCCAATATGGCAAAAAAGTTGGACTGCCGAATTTCTGTAGCTAAACTTCTAACAACCTGATCAGACATTATAGAAATGATTTCATTTTGGATCTCAGGTGAGGTATACCTATCTGTTTTTCGTTGAAGCCATTCTTTAAACTTTGGATCTTCTTGACATCTCAGGTTGTTCAACTGATAGAAATTAGAATCTTTATCATTATCAGCACCTCTGATTGGAAGACCCTGTCTTGCTAAAAACTGAATATTTGAAATAATTTTCAGGAGAGAATATCTATTTTTTTCTTTTTCTTGACTTGACTGAGTAACTAATGCTTCATCAATGTTTGAATTACTTTTCTCAAAAACCAGTCTTTGTGTTGATTCTCGATGGCAGTTTGACAGCTCATGTTTATTCAATCCTCTCACAGCATCATTCCAGTTCGTAAATCCAGATGATATGAACTTTTGTTCTATAGTTCCAGTTGTTATCATATTTTTTTCATATGCAACTGCACAAGGATGGCAATATACTTTATCCTCTTCCTCGCTATAGTGAAGCCATCTATATTTCTAAAACCATTGTGGCTGAAATTGACGAAAACGAATCTTATCCTTCCCAAAAGCCCGTTTCGGAAATTTGAACACTTTTGGTTGATGTGGGGTTTCAAAGCTACTAAGAGGTGTCTGAAAAAAAGAGAAAATGTAAATTACATTCCCTATCCAAAAATTCATTTGGTTTTGCTGGTGTCGTCAATTAAATTTTATTTATACATTTTTTTTAGCATTTATGTTGACAGTTTTTATTTAAATTTAAATTGAACGTTAAACACAAACTTAGGTAACATTTTGATAAAGTTTTAAGATTTAACTCAGGTTCGGTCTAGCATCAGAAACAAGCTGCATATCTCTTTTTCAAACTGAAAATACAAACATGGATCACAGAACTTTAGGCATGCACACACGGACAGACTAAACAAAAAACCATAGTGCCCAGACCACAAAAGGAATGCAAAAATGTACTTTTATATTAAAAGTTGGAATACAAAATTTTAAAAGCATTGTTATGTTACGTCTTCAATTTAAGTCTAAACGTTTTTTAATTAGAAAGGTCTACTGCTGCTTGTCTTTGCTCATCTTCCATGACTGGCTTATTTTTCTTGGGCTAAAAAGATAAATAAACTTGAGTTTATTCGGACAATAGAGGATTTTTTTTATCCCAATAAATTACGTCTACGATATACTGTCCGAAAATTTCTAAATTTCCAATCATCATCAACGAAGAAAGCACTAGCTAGAACTCATGATAACGTTTCCGAATCATTCACTGTTTTACAAATTATAAGACAAATGTTCATACAACAATTCCATGTGCATATTTTTTTTTTAATTCTTTCACATTAAAACTGAAAAATGCAGTTAGATCTTTG